TTCCTGCAGGTACACAAAAGGTGTAGACATGTGGAGCATAGGCTGCATTCTGGGGGAGATGCTTCTGGGCAAGCCTCTCTTCCCCGGTACATCTACCATTAATCAAATAGAAAACATCATGAGCGCCATTCCACATCCTTCTACAGAGGGTGAGTTTGTATTTTACGTGAGGCTTGTTCTTTCAGGCAACAACTAAAATAACCAGACATGAAGAATTATGAACTGTTTCATCAATTATTAATTTATTAAAAACACAAACCAAAAAGGACTGTGTCATTTTTTGTAGATGTGTTGGCCATCAGATCAGAATATGGGGCTTCTGTGATTCAGAGAATGCTGCTTAGGTATGTAATGTTAATATTTAACACTTTGTCTTCATAGTTCACTCCATGGTTGTTTAGCTGAACCTGAATGATGACTCTGCTGACATAATAACCATGCTTGATGTGAATGTGTGTTTAGACGGCAGGTGCCATTAGATGAAATTCTGCCGGCATCAGTGCGACCTGATGCCCTTGATTTAGTGCAGCGCCTGCTGGTTTTCAATCCAGACAAGAGACTGAGTGCAGAGGAAGCTCTGCAGCACCCATATGTGTCCAAGTGAGTTTCGCTTTCTTTAGTTATTTAATGTTTTTAAATAACAATGTAAGTCAACATGAAATCAAAATTGACCCTGTTTACTTTCCTAATACACAGTCCTTGATGTATTGTATATGATCATCAGTGCACTATATTTAAAAGAAATCAAAATATGAGTTATTGATGAATGGCTTTTAATGAATGTTAACCAGAGAGTTTAATGTTAACTAATAACTGGCTACAGTATTGAGGCATTATTTTATGCCAGTTTATATTTATTTTTAAATTATTTTATGTTTATTCTTTATTTTAATATTGGCAGTTAACTTTAATAAAAGCAGTTTAAGTAATCAACTCCTTTTTTAATTATTTTATTCCATTTCTGAGATGCATGTCATGGCACAATTGCAGTATATTAAAAATATAACTGCACAACTCATCTTAAAAATGCAAACATATTTATTAATCAACATGTTCTTCATCAAGGTATTAAAATCAGTCAAATCCAGATTGATACAAATCATGTCTCAACCTTCTCTTTTTCACTTGTAAATATCTCATTACGAAAGTGAAATTGGTGTTTCATGCTTACTGTAAGTCATGATGAATCATGGCTTGAGTTTTAGAATTATTGTTGTTATTAATGAATAATAACATCTAAAAATATCCATCTTCTTTCCATATGTCATGCAAGATTTCACAACCCAGCCAGAGAGCCTAGCTTGGTCTATGATGTCATTTTGCCAGTGGATGATGACATCCAAGTTTCTGTTACTCAGTACCGAAACAAACTCTATGAGGTGAGTGGAAACTTTTCATTCATTATTTTCTCATTTTTCACAGATTCATTTTGACCTTTGTCTCATGCTTTGCCTCAAGCAGTCATAATGTTGTGAGTGTACACAGTCATATGATTTCTGTGTTATGTTAACAAATGCTGTGTCACAGTGACAGAAATCTTTCCTTCTGAAAACTTATCACATTGACTGAGCATAATTAATCGTCACTGAAGTTCAAAAGGTTGGGGTCAGTATGATTTTTTAAAGAAAATAATAATAATAAAAAAATTCAGCAAGGATGCATCAAATTGATCTAAAATGACAGTAAAGACATTGGTAATGTTACAAAAGCGTTTCAAACTTTTAATTTAATTAATTAAATTTAATTAATTTATGCATTTAGCAGATGCTTTTATCCAAAGTGACTTGCAGTGCATTCAGGCTATACATTTTTTACCAGTATGTGTGTTCCCTGAGAATCGAACCCACAACCTTTTGTGCTGCTAACGCAATGCTCTACCACTGAGCCACAGGAACACTTTTATCATATTAGAAAGACTTCTGAAGGGTCATGTGACACTGAAGACTGGAGTAATAGCTGCTGGGAATTTAGCTTTGCCATCACAGGAATAAATAACATTTTAAAATATATTCAAATAGAAACAGTTATTTTACATTGTATAATATTTTGCAATATTACATTTTACTGTATTTTTGATTAAATAAATGAAAAAATCATTAAAAATATTAGAAAAACTTTATCGACCCCAACTTTTGTATGGTAGTGCTTTTATAGTAAAAATATATTAGCAAATGCTTAAAAACTACTTTCCTCTTCATCTTTCCAATTTCTCCTGTAAAAGATGATCCTGGAAAAAAGGGCCAGTCGGCAAATGTAAAAACAATCTCATTTCAGACAGAAATCAGAGGAGAAGACTGCAGAAGGGAATGGGGACAGTGAAATGGACAACAGCAATGAAACAAGTGCTGGCTCTCAAGGAGAAGGCAAGCATGGTGTGGATGGAGATCATGACAGGAAATCTCCTAATGACAAGAAGAGCTCTAATGGAACTGGAGCAGCTGTTGCAAAACCTCTCAGTAGGCCTGAGCAAACACACTCAGCTCCTGAAAGCACCAGCCCAGCAGTGAGCCCCAGTGCGGTCATAACCTCTTATAACCCCATCACGCACATGCCTAGTGAGTTCTGTTTAATAGTGGTTGTACAATAACATTCAATTACCGTTTGGAGTACGTTTTTTTTAAAGAAAATAATACTTTCATTCTGCAGGGGTGCATTAAATGGATCAAAAGCGACAATAAAAGCATTTATAATGTTAACAAAAGATTTTTGTTTTTTATTTCAAATAAATGCTGTTCTTTTTAACTCTCTTCATCAAAGAATTCTGGAAAAAAAATTTACTTTTTCCCTTACAAATATAAGCAGCACAATTTTTTTTTTTTTTTACATTGATAATAAAAATAAATGTTTTTTTTTTAAACAATAAATCAGCATATTATAATGATTTCTAAAGGATCATGTGACACTGAAGACTGGAGTAATGGCTGCTGAAAATTCAGCTTTTATAAATTACATGTTAAAATATATTAAATTAGAAAACAGTTATTTTAATTTGTAAAAATATTTCACAATATTACTGTTTTTACTGTATTTGTGATCAAATAAATGCAGCCTTGGTGAGCATCAAAATCATGTAAAAAATCTTACAGACCACAAACTTTGGAATGTTAGTATATTACTCATTAGATAGCCATAAAAGGTATCATCCATTTATTTTCCAGATGGTTTAGTGAAACCGCACCACTACTGCATCTCATCCTCAGCGGATTGGGAGGAGGAATCAAGATACTGGAGGTGTACTGCCAACAGATGGTGCTAATGAGTCTGTGGTACGTCCTACTGTCTCGAATGACATTTCATTTTATATAAGAGCTGTTGTCTATTTAACATTTGAAGACATTTTAAATGGTAATATGGTCCACAAAATGTTTCATTTGTTCATTCTTTCCCTCAGGGTGTAGACCAGCGACGTCGTTCCGCCCCTGTGGCACGCACAAACTCTTTCTCTCTCACACTAGCACAGACCCAAAATAATCCCCTGCTTCACAAGGATGAACCCATTGTTTCTCCTGGGTTATGTGTCACCTCTGCTCGCTTGGTGAGTGGCCTTTTGTTTTTTTGGGGGGGGTGACTCTTGTGTACTCTGACCTGGGAACATTCAATCTGCCAACACAATCTTGGTTGATGCTGTTTATGTCACAAGATAGAAAGCAGTGCCATTTTGAGAATGCCATCTGTTCTAGTGTGTGCATTCTTCCTTTTTTATGCTAAAATCTTTTTGTATCTTAGATCACTTTTTTAATTAATGATATGTCTGATATGTTTTATGTTTTTCCTCCTAATGATATCTTAATATCCCACTGTACAGAACCAGCGGCCTAATTTGCATTCACGTGATGCCAAGCTTCCTTCAAAGTTCAGCAAGAAGGTGTTCCAGAGTAATTCGAATGTTTCTGCAGCCGGTGATCCTCGCGCCAAACTAGGCAGCTATTCTCAGGCGTATGGAACTATCAGCAAAAGCGGATTGGACAATCTTCTTAGGAATTGCCACTAAGGTGTGAAGTGTGAGATTCGTGGAGAGATCATGAGGCAGGTAGACGGTCATTGGAATCTCCCAGATCAAATAGAAATGGTGGATTTCACGACAAGCTAATTACACCATCATCACATGCTTTGAAGATTATCGCCATTGTGGAAATCCCAGATTAGTGCTGCCATTAACTTTTTTTCTGATCAGTTTAAATTCAGGTGTCAACTTCTTGTTTGTAAATATGTGGTGAAAACATTTATTAAACATGTAGAGAACATCTATGCAATTTGTATGTGTCTTGGCTTAAGAAATTTTAACAATCATTAAGACTTGAACTATCAAAATATTTTTAGGGCAGTGGTTCTTCAACCATTTTAATTATATATTAGTATTATATTATTTTATTTTAATTTAACTTTACTTTTAATTTAACTTTTATTGACCAATTTTATTTCATTTTGTGGCCCCTTGGAAGTTTGTTGATGTACCCCTAGTTGAGAACCACTTTATGAAATTTATATTTAGGGGATATACTTATTTTTCCACAAAAATGAACCAAATGAATATATATATATTTTTTAAACTTCAAAAGATAACATACTGAGCATTAAGTCTCCCTTTTCATACATCATTTTCCTGCCTTGTTAGATCATTTGAATGATGCAAACCAATGGAGAACCTCGTTAAACAAATCTTTCTTCAATACACTGAGTTACTATAGAACCATCTGTAAGGGAGCATTTACCTTAATGTAATTTGTAAGCCCTATTTCTCACTCTAAACATTCACTATTGTTCACTGAGAACCCCTGAACGCTGGAAACGGGCATTTTCTGTCTCCTCCATATATCTGTTATATCTTTTAACATATATTCGACTCATGTAGATATTTGTAGAAACTTCTAGCAATTACGTAATGGGAAAGTATTACGCCACATATTAATGAGCATTTGAGTCCCATCCGTACAGTGCGAAGATGTTTCTCTAGAGTCATGTGACTTCTCATAAACGTCACACGGCCAGGCTCTGACAGAGTCGCGGTGGGCGTGTCTAACGGATTCAGAGCAGCAGACAAGTCGAGCGTCACTGCAGCTAACTTGAACGTAGACGCAAACCAACAAACACGGACTCTATTTTTGTTGTCATTTAGTAAACAAACGTTGCATTTTGCTGCGCGTCTCATAAACTGAAGGGTAAGTCTGTCTCAATTTTCTGTCAACGCGTTGCATTTGCTAATTTCTAAGCAAATATTGTTGAATAACGCAGGTGGATGGACATGGCGCTCGTGTTGTCATGGTGTTGTTTGGTGCGCCAGATTATGGTTTATGTTTTCACGCGATTAAATGAGTCAGCTCAGTCAACACACATTTCTGTCGTTTTAGAGATGTAGAACCTTTTTTGTGCCTTATTCTGCTACGATTGACGTTATATATTACAACAAATGTGTTGGTTCATATATTGACGACATGCGCAGCGGGCGACCCGGTTATACCAGCGACAGATTAACACAGATTTATTGTTAGGTTAACCTACTCCAGTTTTGATTGAGCTAATAAAACGGCTTGCTTGTGTGTATATTTTATTTTAGATTTTTGAATGGTTTTCCCGTCATAAATTTGCTGCTGAATGGAGGAAAGTGTGGTATTTAAAATGCAGTTTACACCAGTGTCCCATGTGACTCATTAAAACGGCTTCATTTTTTAAACCTCTTGAGTTTGTGTTAAATCTTAAGTAATTGGAGACCCTATCTACAAAACCTTTGTTATGGGTACTTGTTAGTGTTAGTAGGTCAGTTTGAATGAAGTGGTGGATCGCATAATTTGTGGAAAGCCATTTAACTTTTCTAACCAACTAGTGTCTATTTTTAAGTTACTATTTATTTTTAACTACTTGTAGGTAATCCAATAATGACAAATACAGGTCAGTTTCACCATTCATTAAATACTAGTACTCATTATTTACACTGAAAAAAATGTTTCATTCATCCAATTAAAAAAAGTTAGGGTAATGATTCACATCTATATTTTTTAACTTGAGCCAATGAAAAATAAATAACTTGCCCTAAACAATATTTTCTCTGTCTATGAAAACTATTTTATAAAACCTGGCACAAAGTATATTTTTCTTGTTGAAGAAAGTCATTTAATTTAAATTCTATTTTTGATCCAAACAAAAAAATATAGATTTAATCAAAACAAAAATCCTCATTTAAGACATTTATTTTTATAGTTTTCATAGACATATAAAATATTGTTTAGGACAAGTTATTTATTTTTCATTGGCTCAAGTTAAAAAATATAGATGTGAATCATTACCCTAAATTTTTTTAATTGGATGGATGAAACATTTTTTTCAGTGTGGACAAACAACCAATTTGCATTTCAATCCAAATTCGAGGTCATAATAAAATGGAGTCCGATTAGAGTTTAACCTAAATTTAATAACTTTGCACACTGAAAAGACCGAACGCACAGGAAACCTTCAGCCACCGTTGGATACCTTCATTGGGCCAATTGCGTGGACCTTACAGGACCAACTCCATATTAATCTGAGGATTCTTACTGGAGTCTGTCTTGTCAGCTGCATCCTAACAGAGGAAGAAACAGATCGATAAAGACATTATCAAGTCAGTTAGATAATGCTGTTGTCAAATACTCAAGATCATATGCTGCGTTCACACCATGTTCTACTTAGAGCTGTTCATGTCCTTGGACCGGGAACTGTGCGTTTCTATGGCAACACTATCCATGCCTAAATTAATCTGCAGCAGTCAGGTACAGTCATGTGGTACAAGTAGAAGCTCTCAGAAAATTCCCAGATTACAGATGGTAATTATGAGTTCTACAAGGACATGAATTCTTTTTCCAAGTTGGAATCTTGTAATTATGGCAAATACAACATGGGATGAATGCACTTATACGTACCTGGTTTACTGTAAAAAGAGCTGGTCTTTGGGTTATGTCAGGCTTGTCGTTGACAACTTTTCTGTGAAGAGCAAACATTAAAGTTACAGTCTTTATAAGGGCATCTGACTTAAGGGGTTACATTTAATTGTGCAATGTGCCAGTCAATAAAGTGATCCTCCTCAGAACAGGTCTCAGTTAACCCACATGACATACAGCTGATCTGGAGTTTTGCTGTGAGGTGGCATAAGTGTACATTTTAGTGCATAAAGTAATTTAAAGGGTAAAGAGGGTATATTATATATTATTATAAAGGGTATATTAAAGTGACTCGCAGCACCAGTGTGAGGAGGCGTGGTCATGATATAAACTAAATAATATAAGTTAATCTAACCTTGATATTTTACATTTGTCAAAACAAATGTCTTCGTTGAGCTCTTAATGAAAAATATTTATATTTATCAATGTTTTGAACTAAAAAAATATTACTTGAAAAATAAAACAAATAATGGTAAATTTAATTGAAAGACAAATTATTAATTGGATGAAGTACTGCTTGAAAAACTTTTTTCAGTGTAGATACTAGTACATACTTATTTAGAAATGTTAATAGTAACAATGGGCAAGGATGCTGAGACTAGTACCCAATAAATATTAGTGAAGCTGGAGATACTGATAGCTATTGGTAATAATACTAGTAAATATTGAATAAAACTGGTCGAGGCACCAGAAGGAACTGGAATATATAGGCTAATTATAGGTTTGTAAATATTTGGGATGCCTGCGCATTATGGTTGCAGAAAACCCGGGAGAGATAGCCTTTACGGCTAGAGAAGAATAAAAGAATTTTAAAAAAGGTCAATTTTATTTTATATTTCAAAAATCTTCCGTTTTTGTATTTATACCGTTAATTAATTTAAACTTACTCTTTCAAACAACAGCCATGTCTATTAAATGTGGTCGTTAAATTATTGCACTCACCATATTAGCACCACCATCGTCTCTCCTCCGCTCCAATCGCGGCTGCTGTATGAGTGAAATTAACTTACACTCCTCATAAACAACACCAAGTGAAAAAGAAAAAGGAAAAGTCGAAAATAATCTCAGTCGAACTCGCTGGTCCGGGGTTCAAACGCGGTTTTGTCCGCTGCAGGCACGTGAGAAAACTAGCTAACGTTAGCTAATGGATGAGAAATGTCCCGTCGTCATTCTCTCTTTTCCCCTCGGCTCAGAATATATATCCCACACTTCTGCCTTTTTTTCCCTCAGAAAACTCACTATTTATTTTATTTTATTTATTTATTTTATTTTAGTCATTTAGCAGACGCTTTTATCCAAAGCGACTTACAAATGAGGACAATAAAAGCAGTCAAAACTAACAAAAGAGCAACAAGACAAGTCTCGGTTAGCCTAACGCAGTACACGTAGCAAGGTGTATATATATACATGTCAAAGTCTAGACCCTGAATATAAGACGACCGCGTTTTTTCATATGTATTTCCAAGAAAAAAACATCATCTTATATTCGGGACAATACGGTATATTCATCCGTTTTTGTATTTATACCGTTAATTAATTTAAACTTACTCTTTCAAACAACAGCCATGTCTATTAAATGTGGTCGTTAAATTATTGCACTCACCATATTAGCACCACCATCGTCTCTCCTCCGCTCCAATCGCGGCTGCTGTATGAGTGAAATTAACTTACACTCCTCATAAACAACACCAAGTGAAAAAGAAAAAGGAAAAGTCGAAAATAATCTCAGTCGAACTCGCTGGTCCGGGGTTCAAACGCGGTTTTGTCCGCTGCAGGCACGTGAGAAAACTAGCTAACGTTAGCTAATGGATGAGAAATGTCCCGTCGTTTAGACAAACAACAATTTTCGCCGATCACAAACAGTCTCTCGAGGAAAAGAAAGAGTGAAAAAAGGTAAATGGCGGAAAATAACATCCATACACCTAACTTAATAAAAAAAAAAGTTTCTACCTTTTCATCCACAGCTCGTTGAATTCACACACTATCACTAGTGTTGGGTCGTTCTTGAACGATTCGTTCGTTTTGAATGAATCTTTAATGTGACTCGGGAAGAACGAGTCGTCTCGGGGAGTGATTCGTTCAGTCGCGCATGCGCAACATCCTATAGGTTCTGTACTGGAATTAGTCAAGTAGTTCACCTGGTTCGAGTCTTCGGGTTTTTCCGAGTCGTTCGTTCATCACGTGACAGCCCATAAGTTTACCCTATGCAGTCTGAGCCGGAAAGAGAATTGATTAATTCATCTCTCGAGTCTTCGGGTTTGAGTCGTTCATTCATCACGTGACAGCCCCATAAGCCCAAACCCGAAGACTTGTCAGATAAGAGGTGAGGTGAGCTAATCATAGACTGAAGACCCAGGTAAACAATGAATTAATCTTTTCTGTTTCTGATTTTGTGTCTCTTTGAGATGGCACAATAATACGTCGTTCACTTGCAGAACGCAAGCTTCTAGAGGGCACATAACTCTGAAGTAATGAATTTAGGTAAATGGGTGCAGAGCCAGTGGTGGTTTTGTAGGCAAACATTAATGCCTTGAATTTAATGCGAGCAGCTACTGGTAGCCAGTGCAAATTGATGAACAGAGGTGTGACATGCGTTCTTTTCGGTTCATTAAAGATTAATCTTGAAGCGGCATTTTGGATTATGGAACTATTTTTGAGTTAAATCGAGTTATAAAGTCAGAATTAGGAGATATAAATTTGCATTTGCGAGAAAATGTCAGAATTGTGAGATAAAGTAAATAAATGTTATGTAAAATGTTGATAGTAATAGGTTTAAATAATATTTCATGCTGTAACTGTAGGGCTAAGTTAATACAATGTGTCCCCTATGAACTGCATAATGTGCATATTATGTAGACCTATTGTTTAAATCAAATTTATGCTTTAAAAGTAGGGTAATCATAGCAGTTTTCATCCATAGTCTGTCCGTTTAAACGTCTGC